ACAATGGCAAGAGCATGCTATTCATTGTTTGTCCTATAAGGACTACCAGAAGCCTCCAATGCCACATTTAAAGAACTAGATTAGACATCAACTCAATTAGGATAATACTTTTTAAAAAATTAAAAACAATTAGTGAGCAATAAAATAATAAGTCTCATTTTCTTGAGTGGCTTATAAATTAGCTCCTAAGGCAATTCCAAAATGTTCTAAGGAATGGAAATAAATAACCATTGATATTTCCATGGTAACAATGTTAAAAAAGATAATATCCTAAGATTAAGTTCTAGTGTGCTTAAGAATCCAATTACTTGATTATCATTCCTTTAAATGTTTATTTGGTTTATAGCATTATTTTTTTGTTCTATAAAATACACCTAAACATTGAAGATGTATAAATAAGTTAGTCTCTACTTCCTACTTGACAGTGTAGAAGTCTATAAATTAGGATTCTTGTCATCTAAAATCAAATTGCCTTAAGTTTGAGTGTTGACTCTGCCACTGCTTAGATGTGTGACCTTGAGCAAATTATATAACCTCTCTATGTCTTGGTTTCCTCATCTACAAATGAGAATAACATGATACCTATTCCACAAAGCTACTTGAGGACTTCAAGAAGTGGCACATATAAAGGACAAAAGCCTGGCACATAACAAATATTCAATAAAAGTTAGTAGTAGCTATTGTACATTACCAATATTTTTATTTATTCTTGGTTTTGAAAAATTAATACTGTTATTGGGATTCTCTAGGTCAGGACTGAAGACAGTATTATTAGACTGTAAAACCATCAACTTTATCATTTGTGAGAGTATGTGTGTTTAGAGCAAGAGAGATTAACCATCTATATTATGTATCACTGTATCTCTAGATGTTATGGCTTGTGTCTAACTATCCCCCCAAAGCCTTATGCAGTCATAGGTGGTGCTTTTCAGAGGTGGCTGGATCTACAGAGTGTGATGCTGGGATTAAGTGTGTGATGCTGGGATTTGGGTGTGTGATTACTAAATTAATCCACTGACTGATTTGGCATAGTTCTGGGTGTGGATAATGGGAAGGCCCAGCCTGGATAGAATATAAGGGACAGAAAGAGGGCTGCTGCTGTTGCTTGTTGCTTGCTGCTTCTTTGCTACTTTGCTGCTTGCTGCCTCTTTGCCTTCTGCCCACCATGAACTGTTTATCTGCTGTGATGCCCCTGGGTCATGCCACCCTGCCTTGAAGCCAGCCAACTATGATCTGAAACCTCTACAAACTGTGAACCAAAATAAGTCTCTCTTCCTTTAACTTTGGGTGCCACGTATTTTGTTTCAGCAACAAGAAAAGTAACTGACACTAGACCAATTATTATTCAAGAAATAATCCTAATCAAGTAAATTTATCTTGGCGTCATGCTTACACAGACTCTAGAGAGACCACTGGTGGCAAACCTATGGTATGGGTGCTATTTGCTTTTCTCTTAAGAAAATAGATGTTAATGTATGAGTTGTTTTTTCTAAACTAAAAACTCAGTATTCAGGTTTAATTGCACTATGGGCACTTTGTGATAAATAAGTGAGTTTTGGGTTGCAGTTTGGGCACTGGTCTCTAAAACCTCAGCAACCACTTCTCCAGACTGCAAATTTAAGCTGCTCTGCAACTGGAATCCTATTTTATGGCTTTTCAATTTCCTAAAAAATGTGCAGGTCCCTACAAGTCCTATCTTGAACAATGTTGATGGTATATAATGTCTACACAATGTCAAATGTAACATTCTCTCAGGACAAACTCCATTGCAGTGCTGCAAAAGCACTTGAAATGTGCTTCAATTCTCTGCAAAGCAAATTAATAAACAGGCACTAGAGTGTTGGCCTTGGTGGTCATCACTCAACATTCAAAGCTATTATTGATAATATGTGGGTGATTTCTTCTATATTTCAAGAGTAGATCCTTGGTTTATGTCTTTCTTAAACAAATCATAAATATAATTCCAAGTCAGTAATGGTAGCATACACCTGTAATCCTAGATACTTGGGAGGCTAGTGCAGGAGAATTGTTAAGTTTGAGGCCAGCCTGGGAAATTTAGCAAGACGCTGCTTCAAAATAACATTTAAAAGGGCAGGGAAGATAGTTCAGTGACAGAGTGCCTCTTGAGGCCCTGAGTTCCATCCTCAAAATAAAAAGAATATAATTCCAACAAGTTAAGAATGCCAAGAAAAGGGCTGGGGATTTAGCTCAGTGGTTCTGGCGCCTGCCTTGCAAGCGCAAGGTCCCAAGTTCAATCCCTGGTACCAAAAAAAAAGTATGCCAAGAAACAAAATCTATGAATTTAAATGAGTTTTTTCCCTATGTCTAAATGTGGTGGAGATACTAGTGCTTATCTACATCATGTTCTCTATTCCTTCCTAGGAATGTGGGAAGTATGAGAAAATTTTATGTCCCAGAGCTTTATATTAGGGAAGAACATGTAACTTGGTTTCACCTACAAAATATTAAGTGGTACCAAGACAGTCACTTAAGGTCCAACATGCAAGAACGGAGACACATGCTGTTATTCCTGGAAAACACAACCTGAGACAGTGGCTTCATGAAATGAAAAGAGGCTGGATCATGAATCATAGGATAAAAATTAGCTTCTAGTGACCCAAAGTGATCTTTGAGTGAAAGAGAAATAATTTTTTGCTGTATTATGCCAGTGAGATTTAGAAGTTTGTTCCTGTAGCAAAGCCTACACTATCATGGTAAATACACTCAGGCACTTCATCTTCCTGTCTACATACTACAGACCAGTGACAACAGACATGAGGCAGGAATAAAATGTATTTATTGGAAAAAGTAACGGAAGAGTTAGAGAATGCTAGAAATCTTTGGAAAATGGAGAAGAAAGGGTAGAAATATAGTAAGACAGAAAATCTATTTTCTTTATGAAGGCTTAGATATAACATTTGGCATCTTTGTTCTGGCTATGGGACATCTTTATCTACAGACAAAAATATTTAAGGAGCAATTCTTACCTTCGTAACTGAGCATTTTCACTTCTCAATGGTTGCATGGCTAGTGCTATTTCAACTTGAATATCTATGTTTCCACTTACAGCTAAAAGTCCAGTTATACATGCTTCCACTTCTGTTACCAACCTCTGAATTTCTGAATCCTCTATGAAAGGCAGAAGAAATGAGTAAAATCAGTATTTTCAATTGGTTTTAGACAAGGCTATTGGAACATATTACTAGAAAATAAAGTTTATAGATATTACATACTTGCTATAAATAACTCATTTATGTATGATTTTATTATACAAATCCTATTTTCTTCCCTGCCGCATGTACTTGCTTACTCAGAATATACAGTAAAGTAAGGATTAATTTTAAATTACAGAATTATTATGTCAGTGATTGTTTTTCAGTTGTGTCTGGTAGGAAAGTGGTTTACACTTACCAAAGGTCTCCTATAGTGAACTACATTGCTATAAGGTTTCCTATATTTGGTTATAGTATTAACAGTTACAACACAACCTTTGATCATGGCATAAAAATGATTTAGATGATTCATTTGGCAAAATATTGAGTGAGGGCCTGCTAAGGCTAAATCATTATTTGATTTTATAAAGTAGATTTAAGACCATTTTTTGTTATTAATTGTAGAGAGTGGTTATTTTCAGAGGAGGCAAACAGATACAGATAAAAAACAAGTGGTGGCCCGGGGATTTAGCTCAGTGGTTCTGCTGCCTGCTTTGCAAGCACAAGGTCCTGAGTTCGATCCCCAGTACAAAAAAAAAAAAAAAAACCAGGTGGCAGATCTTTTGCCTTTTCATTTTTGTTCCCTCATTCCCATTCATATTTTCTGTGGATTGAAAATATTTTGAATTATATAACAATTAATGTAAAAGATTAAAAGTATATTCAAATTAAAAACTTATTAAATTCCACAAGTATTTTAACATCCTGATGAAAAGTATGTGCACACAGTGAACAACTATGTCCAACCGCTGAGCAGTCTTCTGTCAATCTTTGTAAAGTGGTTTTTGCTCATTGGCTTTCGATAGAGAATAAGATAACTAGGATCCACACTTTCTAGAGCTATAATCTTAGTCAAATCACTGGATTCTTTTTGTATATACATTACTCTTTAAATTATTTCCTTTAAAAACTGCATATATTTAGCATAACATGAGATATATATATAATATATAAGATATTATAATATATATCTTATAATATATATGTCTTATATATGTATCATTTATATATATAAATAAAACCCTCTTAGAAAGTTTATAGACTACATTATTAACTATTGCTACTGTGTTGTACAATAGATCTCTTGAACTTATTCCTATCTGAAATATTGAGTCCTTTGACTTTTTATCTCATTAGTTGCTCAGAAGATTAAATGAGATTCTGCTCTCAGAGCCTAAATTCCTCATCTGTAAAATGAGAGCATTAAATAGCACCTGGTACAGTTGCTGTGAGGATTAAATAATTCATAGAAAATACAGCTGGGAACATGGTAAGTGTTCAGTAAGTGATAGCTAATACTGCTACTACTATTACTATTATCATCATTAAATATTTGATAAAGAGAATAGCCATAATCTGAAGGTCTGAAAACAACGATTTTAAGTACATTAAACTTGGAGCTTAATGGCACTATATTCTTACAGCATTTTAGGATTTTTTTTTTTTTGGTGTCTCTTTCCAAATATTAGGTATTCATTTAGTGCTCCCACAATCAATTACTGTTTTCCAAGATGACAAATTTGTAACTCATTCCAAGCAAAAGCTACTTCAGAATATATATAATGAAAACGAATTAATACAACCAGACATTTTTCATAGACATTTTTCTTGATTTGAGAAAAGTCTCAAAAATAAACCAAAAAGGGCACTAAAAGGTTTAGGCTACTTCTCAAAATGAGATGTTAAACACTACAAGAGCTGGTGTCTGTATTTTATTGTATTTTATGATGCTGGGGATGGAATTCAGGGGAGCTGCTGTGCATGCTAGGCAAGTGCTCTATCACTGAGGCACACTCCCAGCCCTGCATCTTTGTATGTGTGTGTTATTGGGAAATGAACCTAGGGCTTTTACACTGAGCTATAACCCTATCCTTTTTTATTTTGAGACAGGGTCTGGCTAAGTATTCCAGGCTGGGGTTGGACATGTGAGACCCCTGCCTCAGCATCTCAGAGTGTGGGGATCACAGGCATGTGCCACCACACCTAGCTTCCCACATCTTTTTTAAATAGGAAAAAAAATCAGTCTGTTCTAGGGGGTCTTATAACAACTCTAGTTTTATCTCTACAGATTCTCCTGACTGTATCTTCCTAAGATCTGTTGGATCAAGCAAAGTGAATGCACATTTGCAAGCAAAGACCAAATTCTTGCTGTTACTCAACATATTTCAAGTCCCCAGGGAAAAAGGGATCCAAACCTAAAAGTAAAAATACAACAGGCAGGCCTCATTTCCTTATTAGCTCAAGACAGATCCACTGAAAACACCACCAACTCCATGGTAATTATTCTAAATATGAATGACAGACAATATGACACTGCTACTTAGCATACTATTGTGATACAGAAAATGATGAAGAAAGTACTCATCTACCTTGTTCTGCTACCAGGGCCTTGAGCTCTCTCAGCAAATACTTTATAGTTTTAACTTTTTCGGCAGTCTGATTCACATTTTTTGCCTTCTGTGTATCCTGGACTATTTTTGCATCTTGAACATTTAAACACTTTCCTTCATTAGTGGCCTCTGCAATTTGTTCTCGGGCACAGGTTTCTTCATTAGAGGCCGAGAAAGCTGGCTGTAGCTGAGTTGGGCTCTGGTGTGTCTTAATGTCTGGGAGAGTTTCCTTTCCAAGAGATTGAAACAAAGACATACATGTCTGAAGACACTTTTGTAAGTCTGCTTCCTTACAGACTCCTTGTTGTGGGAGAATCCAATTAGCAAGACTCAGCTGCTGAGATGTGGAAACAGCTGCTTTGTCAGTTTGGGGCAGGCCACATGCAACTCCAGGACTGGCATTGAATGAGCTCCTTGGAACATCAGGATAGTTCACAGACATTGTTTTACCTTGAGATGCAAACTGGTTACCACCATCGGTTTGAACTTCCTAAAGCAAGGGGAAAAAAATAAGCTTCAAAAGTGTGAGCACTCACTTGTAGGCATTAATTATAACAAACTTGAACCACAAATACTACAGAATAACTTTCTAATATTAGAAACTGACTGTCTGGTATTTTCAGCCTCAAAGTAAGCAGGATTTCTTCTCTGTGCAATAAAGATTCTAGTTTTTTAAAGCATAATTAGATCACTCTGCAAATGGGAACATTATAATGCCATGCCTAAAATAGACTGTTTACAAATACCATGCATACCGTAAAGGCATCAAAAATCAGTCCACTTTTGGACTAAAGTATTTCCACTTTGGGAAATTGTACTGTAAGAAAACCAGCTTAAACATACAAAAAGCTTTTGCAAAAATGTACTGAAAGAAATGTTAAAGTAGTAAAAACTGGCTGTTATTTAACTATCTAACCATAAAGGAGTGTTTACACAAACTATGGTATACCCCAAATATATAGCATTAACTACTTAGTCATAAAAAATATATATTAATAGAGAAATATATGTATAATAAGAGCTCAAGAAAAAAAGCAGCATATAAAACTGTATAAAATCTAAATATAATTGGTTTTTTTTGGTATGGGGGATGGAACTCGGGGCCTTGTGCTTGCAAGGCAGGTGCTGGAACCACTGAGCTAAATCCCCAGCCCAATATAATTGTATTTTTAAAAGAAAACCTGCTTAATAAGCAGAAAATGAAATCTATACCCAAAACTAAATGACTGGAAACATACTATATCAGTGCTTGGGTGTTGGGTATAGCTTATTTTTTTTTTTTGGTACCGGGGATCAAACTCGGGACCTTGTGCTTGCAAGGCAGGCGCCGGAACCACTGAGCTAAATCCCCGGCCCTATAGCTTATTTTTTTTTATTGTACTGATCTCTTCCCCTCTTTTTTCCTATTGCTTATTAAAAATACATAAAACTTTTCTAATAAAAAGCTTTTAAGAAATTGGTCTTATCTCCCAGTACACTGATTCCATCAGTAAATTCAATATTCATTCCAAAGATGACAATTTCTATAAGTAAATATGTATAGCATACAAACTGCACCCACAGAATGAACCATTGGAGGGCAGAGTGGCTGCTGAGGTGACCAGACTGGGGTGGAGGTACAACAGCAGTAATTAGAATGTAGTGTTGCTTGAGATTCTAAAAAGTAAGAGGGAGAAAAATAATCATTCACATCTCATATTGCTTATACAAGAGCAAAGCACTTTAATTACAGTTTATAATCAATCTTTTAAAAACATCACTTATACTAACCAGAATCAGATACAGTATGGTAAGGTACAGAAGGAATCCTATTGGGACCATTCTTAGACGCCAAGTTATTCATCAATGACATCTGAGTCTGCACATGCTCACAGAGGGCTTGGTATATTATTGGTGAATACATTCTATAATGATCTTGTAATGACCAATTTTGTGCTGTGTCTGATGTGTCTCTTTCACTTTCAGCAGAAACTTCACTAGGTATCTGTTTCTTATTATCCAAAGATACTAATGTGGAAGAAGGAAAAAAAAATTCTTGAAATATGATTCTTCAAAAACTTTCAGCGTAAGAGCTTAACGGAGGAAAAACTCTCAGAAATACAGTTCATCATATGCTTCATAGAAGGGCCTTACCACTCTTACTCCCTAAAAAAATTACTCCAAATTCTTAAAAGTAGTTAATGAGTAAAGTTTCCCAATCACAATCATCTGTACCAATTCTGAGAAATCTTTACTAAGTGCTATTTGTAAAATCCCTTCTTCAGTTATAACACCTGTCTTGGGGTATTGTGTTCTCCGTGATATTCAATAAAACCTTAACTGACCCCTTATCCAGTTCAGGCTCTCAGGGAAAAAAATGGAACAGGAAAGAAGACTGTAATTCTTACGATGCTTTGACAGTTAAAAATAAAATCAGACCTCTGAGATCAACCAGTAAGAAAATTTAATCTATACCTAGGGCTTTCAAAAACATATCTTAACATGGCATTTAAAATTCCCAGACAATGCCTGCCTCACAAGCACAAGGTCCCGAGTTCGATCCCTGGTACCAAAAAAATAAAATAAAATAAAATTTCCCAGAGCTTGATCACAACCTACTCTTCCAACTATCTTCCCATCACTTTCAACTCAAAACTGTCATTCCAGCCAGCCAGCTTAGAAACCCAATAAACCTTTCTCCCCATCCTGTACCACTCCTGCCAATTCAATTCTCCTTCAATTCATTTTCCAAGGCTCATCTGAGCATTTCCCTCATCCACGAGCCTTTGCCATCCTAAAGCACATATTTAAATCACATACTACCAGTATATTTTTATGGGGTTTATCTTTTATCCCCTTCTCCCTCTCACTAAACTATAAGCTTCTCTAGGCAGATTGTATTTTATGCTTCATTATTTTCTCTCATTAGTCTATGTACAAAGTAGAAACCTAGTATTAATAAACTAATGAATTAAAAGCAAAGTTTTCTACACAGAACTACCCAGTAGATTGATATAAAAATCTAAATTCTATTTCCGCATCTAATAAAATCCACTCTCCAAAATTTGCTAAACACTATTAATAGAAATGAGCATTCTGGTAGATCACAGGTTATCAGGGTATGGAATAAATTTACAAAAGTATACAGCTTGTAGTAATAACTACCTAAGTCAAACATACACACACACACACACACACACACACACACACATATTCTACGTATGGCACAATTCCACTCTCATGTAAACACCTAACAAATGAGTGTTTATTTTTATACAAAGATATATAGAACAATAGTTACTTACTAGCTGAGTAAACTCAAGCTCTCTTGACTTCCTCTTTCTCATTAGAAAAATGATTTTTTTTTTTTGGTACTGGGGATCGAACTCAGGTCCTTGCACTTGTGCAGCAGGCAGCAAAACCACTGAGCTAAATCCCCAGCCCAGAAAAATGATTTTTAAAAAGTACTGCATAAGATTATTGTGAGAAGTACATATACTTGTAAAGTTCTTAGATCAATGTGTGGCATAAAATAAAAATTCAATAAATGTTATACACCAAATTAGCTACAAACTCTTACAGACAGACAAGTAAATATTTTATATGTATAAATCTTGCTCTCTGATAATAATATACCTCTGAACATGTTCTCTTGAAGGTGATTATAACCGAAAGCAGTAATAATTATCTTCACAAGCTGAATGCATGAGCTACTACAAAACTGGTTAAAGTAGTTCTGTAAGGCAAATATTATTTCTTATTGGATATGGAATTTTATAATTAATCAAACAGAAAAATGCCCTCTAAAATATTCTAACTCTAAAATCTGAAATAATGGAGGGGGAGCATAGCCCATGGGTGTCTGGCACACTACACATCCTTTCCTCCTGATTCTGGGTCTCTCTTCTGTTCTTAGATTTCCTTTGGTCCCTTAAGGACTTCTCAGGCCTCATTGTCTCAGGCCAGGCGTTGGCTGTCATCCACCTTCTTTATAAGGCAGTTTCAGTCTCTCACCAAGCTGAGCCACATACAGTACTATGCCTCTGCCAGCAGATGTCCTCATTTGACGTGAATCAATAAGCTCCAAACATACTTCTTGAAAATCAAAGCTTCTGAATGAAAACTTATTTTGCTAATTTATAAACTCAATCTGTATAATGCTGCTGATAATGTTGAAGATTTGTACTAAAGGTATAAAGTCTTAAAAAAAAAGCAAATAAGCCAAGACAAATTGACAAATCATAAATGGACAGAAAAGAAAAACTGCACTTATATTAGTGTTATACAATTTAAAATAAAACAAACTAACTGACAACAAGTGGGCCTGTTATTACCCAAATACAAATGAAGTATACAACCTTGCTCTTATTAATGACACCAAAGCACCTTCCATGAAAACTGTACCTGAAAGATCAAGATGCCAATATGATTAACTGGTCCATTAAAACTTTTCAGTCCATGAATCCTACCTGCTGTACATGAGCACTGGCTGTTGCTTAGATGTATAAGCACTGTAGGATGCCACCCAAATATCAAAGAAATATCTAGTGTAGGTAAGAGCCACTGATGCCTATTATAATTTAAAATATATAAGAATACTTGGCCTTGATGGGAGCAATCAATGCTCAAAGAATTCTGCCTGCTGTGGTTTATTTCCCAAGGTAAGAGCAGCTATATGTGTACACAGATCACCCTCAACTTTGCCCCAGCTGGTCTCAAACTCCAGGACTCAAGCAACCCTCTGTGTCATTCTCCTGAGTGCTGGGATGACAGGTACCTGCCACTGAATCTCACTCAACTGAGGATTTTTTGACTTTACAGTGGTATAAAGCAACAGGCCTTCAGTAAAAATCACACTTCGGACTTTGAATTTTTCTTTTCTGGGCTACTGATAAAGCTGTATCACATTCTCTCATGATGCAGCTCCCAGGCAAGCCACTCAATCATGAAAGTAAACAGATGATGTTGCTAAACTATGATGTTTGGTAGGTTACATGTATTTTTTTCAACTTCCAAGATTTTCCATTTCTGCTGGATTTGGGGGAACATTACACCAGCATTATAAGTTGAAGATCATCTGTATATGTTATTAAAATCAAAATTATGAAAGCACTAAACAGTTATCAAATCTGAAAAATCTGATTTTTTTTGGTAGTGATACTGGGATTGAACCCAGGGTCTTGTGAATACTAAATAAAAATTGCTTATTCTTATTTAAGGCCTAATGGTGCAGGTCCTAGGCTTAGGAGGCTGAGGCAGGAAGATCTTGAGTTCAAGGCCAGCCTGGACAACATAGAAAGACCCCATCTGAAAACAAAACAAAACATGTTTTAAGGTCAGAAGCACCCACATAAGCTCAATACATTTCTGGAATGGCCTCACTGCCTTTTTACTCATAGAATGCATCAAGGTGGGTTTCCTTGACTCCATAGACATTCAATCATCAGATAGATCTCAGCCAAAAGTACCTATGGAGATTGTGGCCCAAAGGATAGTTTAAAAATAGCAGGACGGTGTGGTGAAATTAAAATGGTACATAGATAACTAAGAAACATGCTGTAATTGATTCTTTAAAGTTCTATTTATGATTATCTCATGGAAAAGACAGTAAGTAGCTAGCATAACTTCTGCATTTTGCTGAGGATTGGGACAATAGAGCAAAAACCCTGTATTGGTTAATAGCAATCAACACCCACCCCACACTCATAAACAAAAGATGTTCTAAATAGTGCTACAGTTTGGTAAACAAACAAACAAGATATAAATACAGATGTGTGTATAATATATATACATATTTATTTATATATATATGTATATATATATTTTGCTGAACCAAGGGAAGGTGGCTTCTTCTAATGAGGCAACCTTAGGAGAAATAAGTCAATGAGGACTCATTGCAATTTTCTAATTTCACAACCCTAAAGGACACTGTCCTATGGAAGTAGAATTTTCCCTCTGAATATCAATATATGGGGAGAAGGGCAGTAAGAATACTGTGTCCTGATCACAGGACCTGACTTGAGTTCAAATAAGAATTTAATGCTAGGAACTAAGAACACCAGGCATCTCTCATCTGCCACATCCATCCTCTACTGGTCTCTACCCTGCTCTCCAGGCATTGCTGTCTGTATGGATTACACTGTTAACAAGTGGTCCTCGGTGGGTCTCTCATTCCTACAAGTTTTCCTATGTCAAGAAAGCAAGACTTTGACCTAACTCAGGGCATTTTGCAAGGTTGAGTTTGTGACAGCAACCTTGAGACATGAGGTAATGTTTTCCCCTGCAAAGACTTGTTCACAGGGCCAGGGATTTAGCTCAGTGGTTCCGGCACCTGCCTCAAAAGCGCAAGGATCTGAGTTCAATCCCTGGTACCAAAAAAAAAAAAAAAAAAGACTTGTTCACTGTTTACTAACAAAGTGACAGATTTCCCAAATTCAGGGTTCTTCAGTTGCTACCTAAACTTGAAGCATGCGTAAACTGTGTCAGGGACCTTCATATCATCTCAGTGGAATCGAGGATCAGGGAGAACCAATGCAAATGTGCTGATGCACATGCTGCTTGCTGCACTGTGAGAGCTAAAGGCTTCTGTCTCTGATCCAAGAGTCCTGTGTCTTCTGCCAGTGTCCATGACACAATAAGACTAACTTATTAGCTTGTAAGACTAAAAATCAAAACCCAGACCTGATACACATCAATAAGGCCTCTGCTAGATTTAAGACAAGGCACATAATGGAAAGGAAGAAGTATAAAGTAAAGGTACCTCGAGCTGGCTTTGTCCCTCCAATGAAGCTCCCTGCTCTTTTCAAGGCAGCCTTCTCTATAAAACATCTTTGTGAGTCCAGTAACCTCTCTCTCCCTTAATCTCTTGAGGCGAGAGTTGGTAAGAGCTCTGTGTTGATGTTAGCACCAGCAAGCTCCTTACAGTTCTCCTTCCTCGAATTATCTTGAGTATTGTCAACTGTATCTTGTTAGAAACCGGGAAGAAGTTAGACTACAATAAGTTCCTACCATGACACCCATTGTCAGCCCCATATAACCTAAATGAGAGATCCTTGTGGAAGACTGCCTCGGAGACCAAAGGAATAGGTGCTACCACTCCTTTCTTTGTTCCATGGGTCCCCTATAAATAGGCCTCTGTGTAAAGAGTTAAGACAAGGTTTAACACACATTTTCTTGAAAGGTCAGATAGTAAATATGTAGGCTTAATAGAAGAGATAGGGTCTGTCACAACTACTCAACTCTACCATGCAGCATCAAATAGGGGCCATAGAAAATAAACGAATAAATTAGAAGGGCCATGTTCTACTTTATTTACAAAATAAGTATTATTTATAAAATAAAATTGGCTTTAGTATGCCAACCCCTGGTTTAGACTTATGTTGTCCAACAGAAATATAAGCAAGTCATGTATGTAATTTACAATTTCCAGTAGGCACAATAAAAAGTGAAAAAGAGAGGTAAACTTAGCTTTTCATGTTTAAATCAGTTTATCCAAAACATTAACATTTCACTTGTAATACAGAGAACTGAGATTTTTTTGTAATAAATCTTCTAAATCCAGTGTATATTTTATACAAAGGATATCTCAATTTGAATGCTAAATTGTCGTCAGAAATACGTGATCTATATTTAGATGTAATAAAATTTACAGCTGAAAAGGTAGATTCACATACTCAAGTTACTAGTTGTTATAGTTTGGGTCTAGGTGTCCCTTCAAAGCCTCATGTGATCATAGGCTTGATCTAGAGTGTGTGAAGCTGGAATTGATTCAGGATACAATGCTAGGCTCAAGGGCAGTAGGATTAAGGGTGTGAGTGCTACCAGCTAAGTAGTCTGAATAAGACAAAAGGGGCAGGAAGATGCTGTTAAGTCTCCCTTGTTGCCTTTGCTACCTTGTGTGTGCCACGTTGTTTCTCCTCTGCCATGCCAATTTGTCATTCCTGCCTTGGCACCGGCCAATTATGGACTGAAACTTCTACGAACTCTAAGCCAAACAAACCCCTTCCCCTCTAACTTTTGGTGCCAGGTATTTTGTCTCAGCAATGAGAGGAAAGTAACTAACACTCTAGTTAAAAGTTTTATAATTGAATCAAGTATCAGTTTTCAAATATATTAAAATTAAGAAACATTAAAAAGTTAGCTTCTTGGTTGTACTAGTCATATTTCAAGTGTTCAGCAGCCACACACAGCTAGTGCCTACACTCCTGAACAATGCAGGTCAACAAGTATGAAGACAAAAAACTGGCCTCCAAGATGGAGGGATTGAAGAAAGTTGTTCTCCTTCCCTTGTTCCCTAACTCAGGTCAACTGGAACAACAATGTCTACTCCTATAAATGCTCTACCTTCATTTTCTCAGCCTCTTTATCTGGTCCTTATATCTCAATATCCAGGACTACTGCCTGAGATGATTTTCTAGACTTTATCCTTTGCACTAAATATAACCATGCAATAAAGTGCTGACATACTTAGCCCACGTGAACTGTGGAACTAGCTGGTCCCATTCAGAATTCCCACTGTAACAATCTGATCAGTACACACTGCATACATGTGTAGAAATATCACACTACATTCAATAAACATGTACAAGTACATGTTATTTAAAGATTTACTAGTGGACTTTTTCATCTCTATTTTAGACTTGTTCTATAGGCCTTGAAGAGACAACATACTCAAAACTCGTTTGTTCTATACTGTTGAGTTACTACACTTAAGTCAACAAAGTTAACCCTGAGAATATAAAATACCTGAGGCTGTATTTACAGGCAGTCATTGGCAAGCTGTCATTCCTTATCTATCCAACATGGATTTTACCTTCTTCTGTACTATGTACCCTAATTATGCAGCTCAAAAAGTTGAGTTCTGAACCAAATTAGGATATATACAGTATACAAGATAGTAACAATTATATACCAGCCTGGTATATCCTTGTTTAGAAATTCAACCAATCTGTGATTATCTATGAAAATAAGTAGCAATAGAAACAAAGATAACTTTATATATCTCCTAAATGTCATTCAGAGTTTGAAACTTTTCTCCTATAAACCCAGACATAGTATCTTTTTTTACTTTTCTTCTTAGGAAATTGACAGTAAGTAAAATGACTACTCGATAATTAGAAGCTAATCAGAAAAAGAGAAGCGCAAGCACATACGTGTATCTAAATAAAAACAATTAAAATGAAAGACTGCATAATCCTGATATCAAAATCCCCAGAATTAGAAATAATCTTTAAATAAACAAGAGAAAAAAATGCTTACATATTTCTTTCCGAATTACTGAAGGAACAGTATGTTTTTCATATCCTTTCTTTTTAGATCCACATTTTTTATCTTCTAAAGATCTGGAATTACATCTATTTTCTGAATAAACTGCTTCTGAACCTATTTATAAGTAAAATAAAATTCATCAACTTAAGAAAAAACTATTTGAGAAAAGGTGACAATGAAAAAGCATTAAAAAAAATAAAACCTGAATCTTCATTTCTCAAAATGTCCCGCAGCAAAGCAGCACAACCATCAAGTCCCTGTATGGTTTCAGTCTGCAAGGAGAAAGTAATTTAGAATATATTTGTATATACAACTATAGTGGGGGAGAAGATAGATATAAAATGAAGTTTTAAATAAATTTATTTACAATCAACTTATTATTGGTTAAAAAATGCTTTAAAGCAATAGCCTTCAGACTTCTGTAGGGAAGTTAATACTCTACCTTTGCATTTTATTTCTGCTTCTTAAACTTTTGCCTTAAGACTGACTGGTGTGTATTACAACTACTCAGGTTGATCTTACCTGACTTTCCGAATCAGAATGGATGGGACATCCAGAATCTGCGTTAAAACGTGAGATTTTTCTTATATGGGTCCTAGAAAACAGGATTAACATTCTTACAAATAAAATATTTTTTTCTCAAAATACATTAGTAAGTAGTCATTTTGTTTCTAGTAAAAACTGGAAAAAAGGGCTGGGGATTTAGCTCAGTGGTTTCGCCCCCTGCTGCGCAAGCGCAAGGACCTGAGTTCGATCCCTGGTACAAAAAAACAAAACAAACAAACAAAAAACTGGAAAAGAAAGCTTATTTAACCATATAAAAAACAGAGGACATTATGAAGACCATAAAGTCTGTTAAATCCTAAAGTAATCCTAGGTAGATAGGACAAACTACTCCATAAATCTTGTGAAGGTACAAGGCCCATTTAGTTTTCTGGGGTAGGCAAAACATAGTCCAGCCCCCTAAAATATTTCCAGAAGTTTAAGTACTTACCCTTTCTTTCCATTTGTTAATTTAGCAGATCCAGGGTGCCTTCCTGAAGACAATACCTGTGACATAATGTATTACATTATAGTATACATACAAACATTTTTGTACTCTATTTTCAATATGACATCATGACAAAACTTGAAATGTCATTCATGTTTTTATCTTCTCAAACTCAAGCTCTGAAACAGTAAAGTTCCCATCCTCATTCCTTCTTGCCTCTTCTACTTTCTATAAATTTGACTACTCTAGGAACCTCATACAAGTGTAATAATACAGTACTTGTCTTTTCGTTGACCAGCTTATTTCACTTAGCACATCTTTGAGCTTCATGCATGTTGTGAGATATATATCAAAATATTTTTTCCTTTATTAGGCTGAATAATTTCCATTATATGTATGTGGTATGTTATTCATTTTTTAATAAATTAGATACAGCCTTAAAATCCACAATTGTAATTTAATTCTTGTAGAGTAAATTTGTTCTATATTATGAGCAAGTTACAAATATATTTGTTTCTTAAGTCTATTAAGGTTGAAAACTGAGATATCATTTTAAGGATACCACAGTTAAGTTTCAACTATATTAAAACCTCAAATATGTTCTACATTTTCCAAATTATTTGACACATACAGGAAAATTCAAGCCATAAGATTTCATAACTGATTCCATTTATACATGTTTTTTAGAAGACATGTCAAGACCAGAACATAAAAAACCCCCTACTCAATCTATCTCATTTTTTCAGTCTTTATTTCTAAACTCATATAGCAATTCTTTTAGAAGAGTTTTCATTCTGAAAGTAAAATAGGCTATCTTTTATGTAAAAAAGGAAAAAATATATAAAAATACATATCACCAGAGTTAGTAGATGAATGTAAATGCAAAGGCATATTTTTATGTAAAATAATAGTACAAAGAAGCCTTGTATGTTACAGCCAGATTCCACAGCTTTTGACATTTTATATTTGTCATTCTCTATCTATATCCACAGCATTATTTTTTGTTTGAACCAGTTCAGAGTACGTTGGAGTCTTAATATCCTAAATGGACTTAAGAACAATGGCCGGGGATTTAGCTCAGTGGCACCATGTCTGCCTTGCAAACTCAAGGTCCAGAGTTCGATCTTCGGTACCAAAAAAACCCCCAAAACTTGTCTAGGGCCTGGGATTTAGCTCAGTGGTTCTGCTGCCTGTCTGGCAAGTGCAAGGTCCTGAGTTCGATCCCTGGCACCAAAAAAACCAAAAACAACGCCAAAGAACAAGGCCACTAATACAATTATAAAATCAAGAAATTAACCTTGATATAGTATTGGTTATAATTTATAGGCCTTATTCACATTTTGCCAATTATACCAATACTGTCCTTTATAGAAAAAACTGGTCCATGTCTAATCCAGGATCACGTATTGCATTAAGATGTCACAGCTCTTAAATCTCCTTTATCTGGAATAGTTTCTTGAGCTGTCGTTCACTGCCTTTTATAACCCTGACGTAGCTGAAGAGTAGAGGCCAGTTATTTTGCAGAATGTGCTTTTGGACACTTAGATGTCTCTGATGGTTTCTCATGTTCCACTTCAGGTTGTGCATTCTTATCAAGAATACAATTAAATCATGTTGTTATCCTCAGTTCAGTAAGAGTAGACATGACATTAGTTTGCCCCATTACTGCTGATGTGAACTGATTATTTAAGATGTCTGCCAGGTTCTTCACTGTAAGGTTACTATTTTATCTTTGTAATTATTAAAAGATTTTGTGGGGAGAATCTTTGACACTGTACAGATATCCTAATCACCAAACTTTCACACAGTAGTTTCAGCATCCATTGATGGTTTTTTTTTTTTGGTACCGGGGATCAAACTCGGGTCCTTGGTGCTTGCATAGCAGGTGGCGAAACCACTGAGCTAAATCCCCGACCCCCATTGATGGTTCTTGCTTGAGTCAGTTTTCAAAGGTAGATTTTCTAACTACATCTTTCCTTCTACATTTACTAGCTGGTATTCAACTAAAACACGTAGAAAGAACAGAGAAGCACTTTTCCTTCTTCCTTGTCCATTTGTACAGTGTGGACCCATTGATTCCTATTTTATTCAATGAGTTATGATCCATTAACATTATTCATTTTGCTTATCTTTTTTTTTTTTTTTGATACCAGGGATTGAACTTGGGACCTTGTGCTTGCGAGGCAGGCAGCAGAACCACTGAGCTAAATCCCCAGCCCCACCATTATTCATTTTGATACTTAAATTGCCCCAAATTTAGTAAATTCGATGGGAGCCCTTCAAGTTAGCTCCTGTTACACTTCCTTATTTTTTACAATCTGATACAGGCTCATATATATATATATATATATATATATATATATATATATATATATATTTTAACACTGTCATAAAAATATTTAACATGGGATCTATCTGAACAAAACACAGTATTGTTAACTACGGGTCCAATGTTGCTCAGAGCTCTAAAACTTATTTTATATAAACAACACTTTATACTTATTGAATAGCAACTCCCTCTTACCCTCTCCCCTCCTCTACAACCACCATGGTATTCTTTGCTTCTGTTTGACTACTTTACATACCTCAAATACGTGGAATTATACAGTATTTGTCCTAGAACTAGTTTATTTTACTTAGCATAATGTCAAGGTTCATCTTTGTTATATGCATATAACAAAGTTTTCTTCTTGATTCAAAGGTGAAAAATATTCCACTGTATGCATATATTTTCTTTATCCATTCATCTGTAGATAGACATTTGTTTCCACATCTTGGCTATTATGAATAATGCTACAATGAACATGAGAGTGCAAATATCTAAAGATCTTGGTTTCAATTCTTTGGGGATAAATACTCAGAAGTGCAATCAGGTGGATCATAAGATTTCTATTTTTAACTTTCTGAGGACTCTGCATACTGTTTTTCATAGCACCATTTATATTTCCACTAATAGTGTACCAGGGTTCCAATTTTTTAACATCCTCGCCGACACTTGTATATTAGGTAATAAATACCTCATTATGGTTTTAATTTGCAATTCTCTGTTAGTCAGTGATGTTGAGAATCTTTTCATATACACACTGGCCATCTGTATGGTTTCTTTAAAGAAATGTCTACTCAAATCCTTTACTTGTTTCTTAATTTTTTTCTTTTAATTTTTGAGGTATGGAGTTCGTCATATATACTGTGGATATTAAATCTTCACCTGACCATGGCTTATAAATATTTTTTCTCATTCTGTGGGTTTCCTTTCTACTGATGTTTTCTTTGTTGCACATTTTAGTTTGATGCATCCAGGCACATCTTACAATATCCCTGCCTCATCTCTAAAGTTGGCTGTTTTTGTTCATGTAGTGGATAGTAATGGTATTTAGAAACCAAGATTTAGATACTACATGTGCTCTTTGCTACTAGGGTCTCCAATCTTTTTCACACGCATATTTTTACTGAGTCACAATGAGTAAATACTTGCAATTTTGAATCTTTTTTTAACTTTTAAATCATTTTCCATATTAACATTGAAAAATTTTTAGTGGCTGTACGATATTTAATGGTCCTTAAATAGAAGTAATATAATATGCTCTTGGTTTGTTTCATATCTTTCAAAATGAAAAACCAAACCAGAACAATCCTTTCTATAGAATGAAAATAGCCTTTCCATACTTAGGACTAAAAGTACAATTACTTGGTGAAAGGTTATAACAGTTTAATGGTCCTTGATACAAATGTAAAACTGCTCTCCAGAAGGAGTGTCCCAAATCACAATACAGGGAGAAACAGTTTGTTTTACCTCCCCCTAGTTTTGTTAAAAGTTTGTTATTTGAGAATACAAACATGTTCATAGTCTTGCTTCCTATCAAGTGCATATTAACGTCACCTTTTTAGAATGACGTAGTTTCTAAAAACCTCTAACTTAATCCATACCCTATAAACTGTCATTTCTACGATGTGTGAATCTAAAATCGAGAAATGTGGCTTAGTCATACAAATGCATCTACGAAGGATAGTATTATGTTTAAAAGAATGAACTCTGGCACCAGCTATGTGAGTCTGAACCCTGTTTTTTTATAGGTAACCGGCTGTGTAACTAACTAGTTAGGAAGTTATTTGAATTCTCTATCTCTCAGTACCCGCATCATAAAATGAGGATAATAACTACCCCAATAAGGCTATTTTGAAGACTGAGTTATTACACCTAATATATGAAAGTACTTATAGTAGTAACTGCAACATAATAATCACTAATGTTAGCTATTATCACTAGGATGATAGCAAGCTAGGTTTTTTTTTTAAAGATAACTAAATTTTGTTGTACATCTTTCAACTTTGTGGTAGATATTTTATCAGGTTCTTTTATTTGATCCAATTCTTTTCTTTTTTTTTTTTGGTGCCGGGGATCGAACTCGGGTCCTTGCGCTTGCGCAGCAGGCGGCGAAACCACTGAGCTAAATCCCCGACCCCCGATCCAATTCTTTTGAGATATAACTCACACCTATTATGCCTACCTAACAGTAAAGAAACAAGAAGAGGGGCCAGGGATTTAGCTCAGTGATTTCGCCGCCTGCTGCGCAAGTGCAAGGACCCAGGTTCGATCCCTGGTACCAAAAAAAAAAAAAAAAAAGAAAGAAACAAGAAGACCAGAAAAGCAGAAGTGCTTTGTACTATCATTATCATAGTGGTAGAACTGGACTCTGAATCTAGTAACTGTGATTACAAAAACCATGTTTTTCCTCCTTGATGAATGCACATATTCTGGGTTCATTAAATACTGTAAAAATCTATAAGGGTGAGGCTAGTCCAGAAGTATTCTTTGATTTTTTTTTTTTTTTTTTGGTACCAGGGATCTAACTCCAGACCTTGCGCTTGTCAGGCAGGCGGCGGCACCACTGAGCTAAATCCCCGGCCTGTCCAGAAGTATTCTTAAAGAAAGGAAGTGTCAAGCTAGGTCTCCAAAACAAGAACAAGAGTCCTATTAACGGGGAAAACAACATCTCAGGTATGTTGTGATAAATGAAGACCAAAAATAAGAAAAATTACATGCTCTATATATTTAAGGAAAGATTATTTTAAATAGGGCAGGGAGGTCAGTGTGAGAAATACTTCATTCAATCCCTGAAAAATATTTGACATGCCAAGTGCTGTCCCAGACCTCCAAGATATAGAGTGAAGGTGAACCAGCAATATCTCCCGCATGAAAATGGAGACGCGAAGATGTCAGGCAAGGGTTCTGAGAGGGTTCTCGCATTGAGGACGAGGAGGTGGACAGACTTTGTTAGGCCTAGAGGGGCTTCTAGGCGGACCAAAACGTCTCCCGGCAGGAAGCAGGAAAGGGCACTGAGAACCCGGCGTTACAGGGCAAGTAGGTATGCTGGAGAGGCCTGGATTGGGGGAAGGAGCTGAAAAGGCTAAAAAATGATGGGCTGCCTGACCAAAGAATGAGATTTACCTTGCATGAGACGTATACTTATGTTGGATTTTAACCATAATCATTTTGCTGCATCGAGGAGCGTGCAATTGAGGGGTGAAACTAGAGGAAGAGACACTAATTGCAAGACATTTTAGAAAGTACCAGCAATTGGGTTAGAAGATGAGCTAACAGCAGCACTGGCAGAAAAACCGAAAAGCTGGGTCTGATGCGATGGGGTGCTGAAGCGAGGAGAGTGAAGTCATTCGACCAGCGGCGAAGGCTGGGGTTCCAACTGGACTTGACACCGAAGCCGACGCCCCGGAAGACCAGGACGACCTCAACAGAATGGTTATCTACGGACCTGCGGGGACCCTTGGACACTTCTCTGTCCCCTTCTAATGCAACTGCGTTGTCTTTGTTTATATTTTATTCTCCTGGCCGGAGAACCCCCATCAGTCCCTCGCCAGCCCCCACAATGGACTCCTCAGTCCGCAGCCCTCACCTGGCCCGGCCGAGATCCGGACCTGACCATCTCTCGAAGCCTCAGAGAACCCAGAAGGAGGAAAGCGAGACCGCACTGCAAAATGAATTAACCGCCACAGACTCCCATCCCCCTCCAGCCCTGCCCCCGAGCTTCCGCTTCCGGGAAGGCGCCCGCCCAACCTCGCGCCTCATGGCCCCTAGCGCGCGGCTGCGGTCTGGGCGAACACTACAGACCAATATCCCCAATCCGTCACACAAGGCGGAGGGTGGGAGGAGCCAACAGAACGCACGCAGGAGGGCGAGACTGAGGTGGAGGGGCGGGGCGAGACCGGGAGGGGCGGGGCGAGCGGAGAGCAGTAGAAACCAACAAAACTGAACGCACGTGGGGCGGGGCCAGGCGTGTTGGGTGGGGCTGGGGGACGGGGTCCGAGGTCCGGGGTCCGGGGTCCTGGCGGGTGGGCGTGGGACCACTGAAAGAGTGCAGTTGGTGGGTTTGTTCCTACCTACGTCTGGCGGGGAGCGCTGCACCTCTGGCAGCTGGAGAAGCCGGGCCAGCCAGCGCCAGAGGAAGGAACTGAGTTGGAGGGCGGATAGGTTTGAGAAACAACCAGGCTCTGCGCTTGGGTTTTAGGCCTTTATGTTTAGTTCGCAGTTATGTGTGCTGTCTTGGTTTTCTTCTTAAAACATTGGTACAGTATCTTTATCTTTGCCTAATTCTGATGGGAATTAAAAATTACTCACTGTGGCCCCATCTTAAAACAGTGCTAGCTGTGTATTCTCCTGTGGCGGTAGTAACTGTTGATAAAGAATGGCACCGGCTCTTACCATTGATAAGCTACACTAATTGCAATAGGGATTAGTCTTTGGTTTGTAAGGCTCTGTGTTTAGGGTTAATTTTCAAGTCAAATTGGGGAGAAAGTAACTCGGTTGATCACTGTTTTTTTACAGGGAAAAACAGCTACCTTTAAAAGTGTTACAATTGATACTGAATACCAGGAACTAAAATCTATCTACCAATGTATTTTACACTCATTGAGGGGTTTTAGGACACTGGTACATTTAGTTTTAGATTAGATTAAGCTGGGAAACCCTTTCCTTTCCCATCCCCCTCACAAGTACCTAACACATTTACCTCAAATTCTAGGCGTTGTACTTAGTTAACTTGATTTTTTTAAACCCTGATTTTTCTTAATACGTATTTTTTAGAAAATATAAATAAAAAATCACTCATATATAGATAGTACAACATGATATGTATCATCTTTTTCTTTAATGGCTCGTCAACATTTTCTCAATGTAGTTATAAAATAGCTGTGTGATATTCCCCACTTCTCTGCTGTTTGCAATTTTATGCCCCCCCCCGTCTTGTTATTTGCTATTATAAATAATGCAATGTGCTGAGATCTGAAAGAGGGGAGAGAAGAGTATTGTAAATGTATGGAGCACAGCATGATGTTAAGAAAGACCAGGAGAGGCCTTGTGGCTTAGTATAGACAGTGGGAATGAAATATGTGCAGGAGTCAGACTCTGAGATCCTCATAGATTAGGGATTTGGGTTATTATCCTAAAGGATTGAGAATGCCTAAAGGTTTCAGCAGGGGCACAGTGAATTGACTGATGTTTTACAAAAATGACTGGCCGCAGTATAAAGCAGCAGTTCCCATTCTACAGCCATCCAGTCTGCTGCCATTTTGTTATTATTCAGCATGTGAGGGTTTTTTTTTTTACACTTTTAGTTTTTAAATCAAAAGAACAATAATGATGTGAAAATTATGAATGTCATAAAGTTTTATTGGAACCAAGTAGATTGTAATTCTGAAAGACCTTATCCCAAAATGCCCAAATCCCAAATGTCGAAATCCGTAAAGCTGAAATTCTGAAAACAGCAATTCCAATTTGGAGGGGAAAGAAATGAACTAGTTGAGATACACTGCCAAATTCTGGACAATGTATAGGTGCATTTTGGGTTATATTTTGGGGTGTCTGGGAGGGTGTTTCCAGAGATCAGTGTGTGGCTGAGTGGATGGGGTGGGAAAGATCTACCCTCAATGTGGACAGGCATATATATCACAAAACAGTCACACTCACTTGTTTCTGTATTATCCATGTCTGCTTTTGTGCTACAACAGCAAGATGTAGTTGCCACGGAAACCCTATGGCCCACAAAGCCTATTTCCTATCTGGATCTTTATAGTGTAGATGCAGAGGTTGTTTTGAGGAAAGAGAAACATGGATGTAAGTTCTCCCCTCCCCCATTCAGTCTCAGCCCTTCTCCTTGTCCCAGTGACTGACCTTTAAGAATGACATCACTCATACTTGCCCTCCAGCTTCTGGTTGTGCTTAGTAAATAAGAACAACCAGCAGAAGACAAGAGAGGAGGAGAGAAATTTGTGTATTCCTCCATCTCAGCACCATCTGATTGATGCAGTGGAGCTCTGCAACTAAAGATCCACCCAGGAGCCCCTGGGGCTCAAGTTCTCTCCAGGCTCCAATAAAACATTTCCCCTTGTTCCTTCAGTCATAGGGATTATAATGGTTTGCTAGTCCCTGGATGCCCCAGTACCCTTTGGTGATTTCCTTTTCCTCAGCTCTGTAAAACTTCTTTTATTTATCATCAGAATATCAGCTGAGTGTCCTGTTTCCTGCCAGGACCAGATGATAAGAAATCTGGATACAATATATATGAAGGCAATGGGAGCCAGGGGGAAAGGGGTGGGAGAGGTGATGAAAGACAAAGAGGACACATAGGAGGTGAAGTAGACAGGGGTTGGTAATAGACTTAGGAAGTAAGGCAAGGGGTAGATATTTACCTTGGCCCCAGCTTGAGTTTTGGACCTGGAGATTAGTTGAGAGAGATCCACATCAAGGACGGAAGTGTACGGACCCACTTCCCTCAACATTTTCTTATGAGATAATGCAAACTAAGAAGTCTTTGCATTAGGGAGTGAGGCTAGAGATTAGGATGTGGCCAGTTAGCTGGCCAAGTGGGCAGTGACCTGTCAATCATGGAAATCCACGACACGTGCAGAAAAACAGTTCCAAGCCCTGCACCTGGGAACAATCAGAAAGTAAGAAATCAAGCAGGTTTTTGATAGAAGAGCCTAGGTCTGACCCTAGATTTGTAAATTCTTTCAGTGGCTTGCCCTGGATTCTATAGAGTGTACTGCTTTTCCTACTTTTAATTGGCCCACACTCACTCTGCAGAGCATATTTCTTTTCCTATCTTTAATACCTTTAGTAGATGTAAACCTGGCTACCTTTTACCCTGGTCTTGACCAATTCCTTGTTCAGGACAAGAACCTAGAAAGCATCTCTAGGAGTCCACAGCACTCCAGAACCCAGTAACAGGAACCATTTGAGAGGAAATTGAGTCAACTACTGGGTATTTGAATCCAGAGCTTGGTGGGGGGGGGTGTGGGCTACATTTCTGTTGCCTGTGCTGATAGACAGGGAATTTGCCATCACGTTACTTCTTCAAGAAAGCCTTTGCTTCCACCTCTCTATAATTCCACAAACTAGACCAGTGGTGGTGAACCTATGGCATGCGTGTTATTTGTTTTTAAGACAAAAGATGTTAATGTATGAGTTGTTTTTTTCTAAGCTGAAACCTCAGCATTCAGGTTTAGTTGCGGTGTTGGCACTTTGTGATAAATAAGTGGGTTTTGGGTTGCAGTTTGGGCACTCAGTCTCTAGAGGGTTTGCCATCACTAAATTAGACCATCTAGGGCTGGGGATTTAACTGGGCTGGGGATTTAACTGGGCTGGGGATTTAGCTCAGTGGTTCCAGCATCTGCCTCAAAAGTGCAAGGTCCCAAGTTCAATCCCCGGTACCAAAAAAAAAGACAAAGTAGACCATCTGCCTAGAGTCTATACTCTGATGGAATGGCACCATTTCTATCAATTAGAATTGTGCAGTTATATGATGTCTATCTTCTCAAGTAGAATTTAATCTCTATGGAAGCAAGGGCCTAACTTACTCAGTGCAGTGTTCCCAATGCTTAGCACAATGCCTTGCACATAGCAGGAATTTAAAAATTATTTGACTAAATTGGTCTGCTGTCATGCATTGGTAATAATAGCTACTTGAAGGCCCAAAACTCAAGAGTATCGAGGACTGGCCCTGTGATCCTGATTTGGAGGTGGTCTCTCTGACATCTTGATCTAGTCAATCTCTTATAATTAAACACATTAGATCAATGAATTTTCCAGTTGGCTCACCTCTGAAGTGTGAAAATCTCTATTCATGTTGGGCCATGTCCCAGTTTATAGCAGACAACCAAAATTGCAAACACATGAAGACGTAAATTCAAAATGTAGATTTATAGCCAGGATATAAGATTCAAAAAGAAGAGGCCATGGACACTGTCATGTGTTAGGAGCATGAGCTCAGTTCTGCTTGGAAAGAGTTGAGAGATTATTCTGTTGCCTTGTGGAAACTCATTTGGTGCTTTCTGGAGCTATTTCTAACCAACCATTTTTGACCTTTTAAGATCATATACAACTTTGGAAAGTTGTTCAAGGCTTTGTAATTTTTTTCCACAGAAATGCTAATGTGTACATTTCTGAAACACATTTATATGTAATAATATCAGAGATATTCAGGAGCTGCTCCAAGGATTTCAGGTTAAGATTACTCTTCTAACCTATTTCAAAGCCAGCCATACACACTAGAGTGTCCAGCTCCTTCTCTTGCAGACCCCTGGTGATCCTGGAAGTTATTGGCTGAGGATGCTAAGTCCCTAGTTGAAGAAGGAGAGCATGGCAAATAGTGAAAATGGAATTGAGCCATGGTCTTTGCATTTTCCACTGAAGCTTTAAATGTACCTGCAGTCTTTGCTTTAATCAAAATAGCTTAATTTAGGAAATAAAGAACCCACTCCTTTTTCTTTATGAAATCCTGACTTATTGCTTCCTGAATATTTTTCTTTCTAAAGGAGAAAAACAAACCATCTGTTCCAAGGATCTCAGTTTGACAGCCTAGCTGGGGTCAAACTAGGATTCAGATATTGTTGGGCATGATAAGAAGTCCAGTTGACTGGTATGAGAGAGCCTTTAGAAAGATCTCATCATAGGGAAGAAACAGTGGCTGGGGACAATGTGCCAGGTATGTGAGTCAGGTATGAATTTTAATGCAGCACTATATCAGTCACTTATTTCCCTGTAGCCCCCATGGATGTGTGCTTGACTCAAAAAGAGAAGCAATAATAGTAGCTAAAATGTTAAAAACAATTAAAATCTCTATAAACCTTAGTGGCAGTTGCTTGTGGCTGCTTATAACTTCTTGCCTGGAGAAGCATTTTTTGAGCAAAAGGAGCAAGCTCAGGTAAATCAGAAATGAAGAAAATTAATGCCCCTGGAAGCAGCTCTCAGATGATAATAGGTGGAGGATTTGGTGAAGAAGCAGCCTTTAGCCAATAATGGATGGAGAGAGCTCCCTCACCCTTCAGTCTGGGTTAATTCTGAGATGTGTTCTATACTGTCTCCCAGAGTTCCCCAGCACTATTGGGATCTAAGGAGTAACTGGCTGAATAACACACCCTTTGTTGGCTTTCTTCCCATCATTACTTTATTCTTTGTTATGGTGTAGATCTAAAAAGTCCCGGGCCAGGGATTTAGCTCAGTGGTTCCAGCGCCTGCCTCGCAAGCGCAAGGTCCCGAGTTCGATCCCCAGTACCAAAAAAAAACACACCAAACAAACAATGAAAAGTCCCTCAAAAGTTCATGTGTTCAGACAATGGAATTTAGGCTCTAACTCCATTGGTGGATTAATCCATGGATGAGATCATAATTTGCTGGCTTTATTGGGAGGTGATGGAAATAGGAGGTGGGGCCTAGTTGAAGGAAGTACATATTGGAGGCATGACCTGGGGGCTATATCTGGTCACCAACCTCTTCCTCTCTGGCTTTCTCACCTTCTCTGCTTTCTGACCACCATGAGGTGATCAGCTTTCCTCTACCAAACTCTTCCACAATGATGACTTGCCAATGGAACCCACCAATCATGGACTGACCCTTGAGCATGGACTGAAACCATGAGCAAAAGTAAACCTTTCTCCCTTTAAGTTGACTTTCTCAGGTATTATGTCACAGTGATGGAAGGCTAACACACTCTTCTGTATCCCTATTCACCGTTCCTGGGATTGCCTCCCAAATAAACTATTTGCATTTAAATGCCAGGTATTTTCCCTGGAGGGAAATCCCATACCTAGATTAATACTGAGCATACATACAAGGCAACACAGCCTTTTTCAGTCATATAGACCTGTATTCAAATTCTTTCTCACCAGTGACATTGAATAACATAATTTCTTTAAGACTTTCTTCATCTATAAAATGGAGATAATAGCACTGACTTCCTAAGTCTGGTAATAAAGAAAAATTTGAAAATGTATGTGAAGTGTTGTATACAGTAGATTACACATAGTAAGAGCTTAATAAATGTTGACTATTATCATTAATATAGTATTTATAATACTGGGTACATGACATAGCCTAGGTAGAGGGTAAAGCTGTTTTCCACCCTGAAGTGACTACCGAAGCAGGTTGATTTGGTAGACGTGATGTGGAGACTGTGATTCTAGTAAATACCTATGACTTAGTAATATTAATAGCTTACAGGAAACATTGCCATGGGGAGCGAACTGTTGGCTTAGAAGATAAACACTTATGCTTAGTCTCAACTGATGGCTGCAGTATTATCAATAACTTCATATCTGAACTCAGTACACACTTCGATGGCTGTAATTTTATTAGCTTCATTCATTTAGAGCTACAGAGATTGTTTCTGATTTCAATCTGCTTCCCAAAAGTAGGAAGGATCCTTTCACTTTTGTTATGTTTAGGAACTTAATTTGTTATTTTAGGGTCTTCCAAATTTGAGCTGCCTCCTCTGCCCTGGTTTAATCCCTACTCCCAGGCAAGATCATTTTAATTTTTAGTCATAGTAAAGAGAAATTGATACACCAAGAAACTGAGGCAGATTAAGCTTTCATTCATTCTCTCATCCCAATGAATTACAGTGCCAGATTTCACCTGCAGTGTTTCAGCCTTTCAAACAGTCATAAGTCACAGAAGGGATAAAGGATGGGCCACAATGGCTGGGAAGGCAGGATTATGTGTTGCCCACCCACTGCAGGTGTGGCCCAGTGATTCAGGTAAAGACTTTGTTTCAGCCCCTTTCATTGTTTCACTGTAGGTAGAAATCGAGGGCCCATGGTGACTTCCCATCACAGTCACCTTTTACTTTTACACACGAATAGACAAATTGCTCCTCAGTGAGTGTAGATATATACATCCAAGCTAATCTGAGTTCTTAGAAAAAACAACTTTTTTGAGGAAGTAATATAACAGGTAGAAGGGACTGACCTAGTGACTTGGCACACCCAGAGTTAGAACAACAGTCACAGTCTGTTCGCCTCGTCTGCTTACTTCAAGAAAGACAAATCTGGATGGTCTTGAGGGCAGAATTCATATATGATTTATTTGTATATGTCCAGAAACCAGCCTAGTTCCAGGCTAGAGTTGTCAGGTTTAGGAAAATAAATAAAGAAACAAATCATGAAAAGTTTTGTCATTTATCTGAAATGCAAATTCAGCTGGCTGTCTTGTATTATATCTGGCAACCCTATTCTTGGCACATGGCTAACCTCAATAAATATTTATGAGAAGGTGAAGGAATGAATGACAGTAGTACCAAAAAAAGGAGCAATGAATTGGTGAAAACTTGATTGACCATGTAAAAGATAATCATCTAAATTACCCCCAAACAATCACAACACATCAAAACTGTGTCTGGGTCACATTGTTCCTTTTAAAATGTAACGGTCCAGTCTGGCTTTGGGTTGAGATATGTTTTCAGTTCAGGTTCTGTTAGCCACTTTTACTCAGTATTCACATGGGAAGAATACTAATATCTTGGTAACACAGGTGTTTAGTTCCGACAATTTTACATCTCAATCCCACACATTTCTGATTTCATATGTTTATTAGTGTGTACCAGTTGGACAAGAAAATTGACTTTGGATGGTGTGTCGGGTTCAGCCACTCTGAAGCACAATCATCTCTGTATCTTCCTTTACAATTGCCAAAATTGATTGCACTTTTATTCCAGCTGAACCCTGGGGTTTTGGGTAAAGTCATTCACCTTGATTAAACCATCAGGACCAATTCTGGTTGGGAAAATAGATATTTGGGAATAGTTCATCTAACAATCTTAAGAATGATAATATATAAATGATTCCCTCCAAATTAATTCTGCTGCTGTTCCTGCCCCCTCACCTTTTCTCCTTATCTGTTGACTGCCTGGACCCCATCCCCACCCCCTCCTTCTTCTCCTTCCTTTTCCATGCTCAAACCCGCTGGAGCCAGAAGCACCTGGAGGTCTTGCTATGGCACAGACTTCTGGACCCCACACCCAAAGTCTCTGATTCAGCAGGTCCAAGGTGCAGTCTGGGATTCTGCATCTCTGACATTTTCCCAGGTGTCGCTGCTCCTACTGCTGCTAGCCTCAGCCTTCTGAGAATCACCGTCTTATCTATACCATCCTTTCCTTTGCCCTTCATTTTCTTCAGATCTTTTTTTTTTTCTTGAGACAGGGTCTTGCTGTGCAGTTCAGGCTGGCTTTGAACTCCCTATGTAGCGCAGGTTGGCCTTGAACTCATGCTATCCTCCTGCCTCAGCTTCTCAAGTGCTGGAATTACAGGCATGCACCACCATGGCAGGCCTTCAGATCATATTTCATGTGTCTCACAATTAATTCTGTGTTCCCAGAACAGTATGATATACACGTGCTGCTTGATTTACTATGGGATTATGTCCCAATAAACCTATCGTAAGTTGAAAATAGCATAAGTTGAAAATGCATTTTTTTTTTGGTGCTGGGGATCAAACTCTGGACCTTGCACTTTCGAGGCAGGCGCCGGAACCACTGAGCTAAATCTCCGGCCCCTGAAAATGCATTTTAAAAAAATTTAGCCTTACCAAGGATTGAACCCAGGGGTGCTCTACCACTGAGTTGCATCCCCCGCCCATTTTATTTTTTATTTTGATACTGAATCTTACTAAGTTTCCAAGGCTGCCCTCAAACTTGTGACTGTCCTGCCTCAGCCTCCTGAGTAGCTGGGATTCCGGGAGTGCACCACCATCCTGGCTTCAAAAATGCATTTATACACCTAAGCTACTGGACATCATAGCTTAGCAATGCGTACACTGAAGAGAACTGGCTGTTTTCCACCAAGATCATAAGGCTGGCTGACTGAGAGCTACAGCTCACATCTTACTATCCAAGTTATTGTACTTACATTGCCAGCCCAGGCAATGATCAACATTCAAAATCCAAAGTTACTTTCTACTAAATAGTAGTGCTTTCGCACCATTGTACTGAAACTGATGGTGTGCAATCAAGCCACTGTAAGTTGGGGCCAAGTGTCATAGCCTCACTCTAGCTTGGCCTGTTAGATTATTTTTACCAGTGTACCGTCACTCCCGACTGGTAAAGGTTTACTTACACTTCATGTTCAATGTAGTTTAGCATTCTGCTGACGTGGGACGCAGAGATCTCCCCATCCACTTCAGCTATATACGTGTAGAGAAACTGAAAAGTGCTGAAGGGGATCCGGGGAGGCCCACCAGCATGGTCGCAGGATAAAACTTCACATATTATCTTGAGAGTTTTGGCAATGGTCTATAAAACAGGAAGATAAAATGAGGAGAAAGTCACTCTTCCAGGCTAGATTCCTGAGATCAATTCAGATATAAGTAAACAAAATATTGCTGTCATAAAATAAAGTGGTAATGATTTAAGAATCTAGAAAGTTTGACATTTTTACACTCAAATGTCAATTCATTCTAAAAACATTACTACTGCTAGATATCTTTCTTTTTTCTTTCCTTTCTTTATTGGAGGGCTACTTTCAAAGAATTAAATTTATGTACTGCTGTATACGTTAATATATTTGTTACTTAGAATAACCTCACTACAGGTGGGGAATTGGTTTTACATTCCATAGGATTAGAATTGTTTTTGCTTATTATTGCCTTCTGATTTTTATCTGTAAAGGGCTAAGGTAATTCAGGTAGCCGTAATCCAGGAAGATACTTGGAACAATGCCACAGAAGAGGGGAAGAAGTTAGGAGAAGCGTAATGTCCCTAGGAAGGGGAGTCCTAGATGCTGGAAGGTGACCCTGAACATCAGGATTGACTCATTTTTCTTAAACTTATGGATCTATTTAAGTAGAACCATCTCATACTTTGAATTACATAATACTAACCCTGGTGTTGTCAGGGGGAAATTACCAGATGATGAGTGCCAGAAGTTTTGTTAGAAGAGTTGCTACAGAACCAAATGCTCCTTACAGTATGTGTAAGTATGTGTTCAGAACTGATCCCATGTCTTTAAATACATCTGGCTTTTGCATACACTTCATGAGTGAAAAGAGTTATGAAATGATGGGATAAAAAGAAAGGAATGATTTAAGGGAAAGGCTGTTTAGTCCTGAATTAGCAAGGGCAGGTTAGCACATACTTTGTGGTGGTTTACTGAAACTGATGAGGTACAGATTCCTTACACACACTGCGGGGGTCAGTGAAAAGTTAGTCTTGAGTGATGAACTAAGTTATCAGTGAACAACTGGCAGCTGCTATGTCTTCCCACACAACCGGGCAAAGGAGAACTGCTTTTCCCTGGCAGTTGGTGTTGCTGTTCTGCTCTCACCCTCTCCCTGGATATGGAGTGTCTAGGTCCTTCTTTAATGGTGGTGGCTGTCACTCAGAGTCTAAGTCTGCATGTCAGGAGACATATGAGGGTGAAAATAAACTTGGCCCATCTTCCTGGAGTGATAGTTTTACTTGATGGCAATGGTAAATCATATTTGTGTTAATTAGTATTAGTTTTAAATAAGTTAATATTTAAATTTTATTTCCATTTAACAAACATATGTTAAGAAATAGAATCTCCAGGGTACAATAATTTAAAAATAACAAACCACATGATGTCAAAGCAATGGGGTTTGCAGCAGCCCACTTGCATTTACTCTCCCCAGCCTGTAGCATTCTCCCATGGAAGCAAGGAGAAGTGCTATGTGAAGCATCCTCCCAGGCCCTTCTTCCTGGTCTGAAGGGCATGGGTGGGGGGCCACACAGGAGGCTGTCAATGGCTGGGCAGGCAGGAGTGTGAGATGAGGTTAGCATGAGGATGGTTTGGGTACAGCTGCAGGCTAAGTGTGTGTGCTGAACTTCATAATTTCTGTCCACAGCTCATGCTCTCTACTTCCCTAAAATCGCCCTGTACCCCTACTTTCTTTGCTCTATCATCCTCAGACTTGGAGTGCTGTTATGGGCTAACCTGCCCCTCCAAGTTTATATGTTGAAGCCCCAAACTCCAAAACCTGAGGGTATGATTCTACTTGGAGAGAGACCTCTGAAAAGCTAATGAAGTTAAAATGAGGTCATTAGGGTGAGCTCTGATCCATATGACTGGTGTGCTTATAAGAAAAGGAGATGGGGTCAGAGTGAGACCCAAATACAGGGGCACAGAGGGACACAGTGGGAGAGAAATGAGCCCTGTTGACACCTTGATCTCAATGCCCCCCTCCCCAGAACTGTCAGACAGTAAGTGGTTGTTGGTTAAGCCACCCAGTGTGTGGTGCTTTGTGAGGTAGCCCTTGCAGACTGTATGCAGCAGGTGCTTTCAACCCCAGGTACCATCATTCACTGATTATTCAAACAACAAGCCTTCAATTCTAAAGTCTTCATAAGATTTTAAATGTTTTTAAAGATTTAATAAATCTAAAGTAGAGATCTTTATCCTCTTGCATACATGGAGATCCACTTCACAGAGGTAACTCTAAGCATCTGGCGTGTCTCATCTTTAAACCCAGATGTGAAATCTTCAAAAGATGCATTGCCTGCTAACAAAATATAAGTCTATCTGATCTGTTCCCTACACAAAATATAAGTCTATCTGCTCTTCCTTTTTATATTTTGTATTCAACTTCTTTTCTTTTGTCGTTTTTTAAGAGTACAATGCATTATTATTGTTTATAAGTACAATATTTTAAAAATTAGTATATATTTGCCATACATAATGATCACAGTCATCATAGGAAATGTGTGCCTGAACATAATATATCTTAATTCTCTGTTTTGCATTCCTCTCTCCTCCCTTCAACCCTTCTTCCCCTCCCCATTTACAGAAGCTTCGTTTCCCATTTTTTTCTTTGATTCTTTTTTTTTTAATCACTTTTCCCTCCCGTTCCCTTCCCATTTGAACATGTTTTTCCTACTTCCCATACTATCCTCCATTTTGCTCCTCATTGACCCTCGAACTCTTCCTTTTCATAATTAGTCTCCATGGAGCAGGAGGTGGCACGGTCCAGCCTGGAGGAGGGAGTTCTGAGAGAGAAAAGGGACACAGCTCTGCCTGCTGCAGCATTTGGAACCATTTGTGTCAGAGCAAGAGAGCTTGACACTGGAGTTGACTTCCTCGTTAGCAATTTAAGTGAAAATTCTGCCATTAGAATTTCTACTGGGAGCAAACTGTTTTTCTAGACAGCACAAAGGTCATGTTTGCCAGGAAATCCTGGGCTTGTCTCTAAGACCATATAGATTAACTAGAATTCAGGACTGCCTTAGATGGTGGCATCCTGACTGCCTTAGTCTGTAACAAAATATATTAGAATGAGTAATTTATAAACAGCAGAAATGTACTGTCACTGTTCTGGGAGCCGGGAAGTCCAAGATCAAGGTACCAGCAGATCTGGCTTCTGGCAAGGCCTAATCCTCAAAAATAGTTTCTTTTCACTGTGTCCTTACATGGCAGAAGCAATAAACAGGTTCTCTCTTCTATAGGAACAAGTCCTATTCCTGAGGGCTGCACACTCACGACCAAAGGCCTCATTGCCTAATATCATATCTTGGGAGTCAGTTTTCAACATATGAATTTGTAAGGGACATAAGCTGTTAGACCATATCACTGACAACCCCATACCTAATTTCCCACTAACCACCAACATGATGCCAAAGGTATGAGGCAGTGATGGTGAACCTTTTAGAGACTGAGTGCCCAAATTGCAACCCCAAACCCACTTATTTATTGTAAAGTGCCAGCATTGCAATTAAACCTGAATACTGAGGTTTCAGTTTAGAAAAGACAACTCATACAACTCATGATGTCATCGCAGAGAGGGCTCTGCCTGCTTGCTGTGGCAAACATATCATAGATTTGCCACCACAGGTCTAAGGGCACTGGCTTCTGGATTCACAGGGTACCCTTTATTTACAGACTAGACCTTCAGGCTGACTCCCCTGTGCATGTTCTTTGACAGGGATGGCAAGGGGCAAAGTCAGCTATCTCAGGATCTCTCAGAATTAGAGGGGTTCACTCTTATCCAAGGTAGGCGTGAGGCCATCTTGTTGGAAGCAGAGAAGGGAGAACAGAATCACAGCCTGTTAGAAGTAAGAGAATCTCAGGGCAACACAACCTCCAGTTTTAGAAGGGAAGCAGAAAGTTGCAGATCAGCCAGATGTGGTGGTGCATGCCAATAATTCTAGCACTCTGGGAGGCTCAGGCAGGAGGACTTCAAGTTCAAGTTTAGCCTGGGCAACTTAGCAATTACAAAAGGCCCTGTCAGAAGAGGAAAAAGAAGAAGGGAAAAAGGGGAAGGGGGTGAAGAGAAGAGAAAAGAAGAGCAAGAAAAAAGGAAGGGTAGGAGGCAGAGATAGCGGAAGGAAGAAAGGAAGGAAGGAAAGATTTCACCGCATGGCTTCCCCTCCCAATTTGGGAGGCAGGCATGAAAGAGGAAAATTAGCTGCTGCGCAGTGTGCCAAGCTCAGGGAAGGGTGTGCTGTGGCCTTCCACACTCTTGACCACTGTGAGGCATGGGGATGGGATAACTCAGACATCTCACAAGTGGCAAGGGCTATGAAGGAGACACCAAAGCCAGCAGATGTGAACAGCATAGCAGAGACCCCAGGGCTCCTCAGTATCACTGCAAGCTGAGAGGAGCCCTGGGAGGTGCACCGCGTGCTGTGACCAATCCCAGAGACACCAAGGTTTAAACTGCAAGCAGCCAGTGAGTGGCTAAACAGGTGGCCACACTGCCATGGAGACCAGAGGGGCTGGAGAAGACCAAAGGTGGTAGAGATCCTTTCACTTGGCCACACCGAGGTCCTAGATCACTCCTTTGCCTGAACACCCAATAGCCACCTTGGAGAGGAGAGAGGGGAGGCACACTTGGGGAGACAGGGCAATTCTCCTGTGGGCTGTTTCAGTGGCTGCATCAGATTGAATTCCTGAATCGGATGGAATCTACTTATTTCTTTTACCCCATCTCTTGTGAATGTGATAGGTCATGAAGATCAGAAATAACCACAGGGAAAATAAGAAGGTGCATGTCCTCCAACCATCTCTGAATGTGGGGTGAACAAATTTGTAGCCCTGTAAGAATTTAATAAGATCTACCAATTATTTAAATTTTCCCTTTGTGGTTTCTCCCAGTCCTTGGGGGTTTTCCACAGAAAGTGAGATCAGTCCTGGTGGACAACTCATTTGCCTTGCTCCACTCCAACTTCCTCTCCTCTTTGGAGTCAGAAATTCATTTATTATACAATATTGCTATAAAGGACAAGGAAGAAAAAATCCAACCACACACACACAAAAAATCCAACCACAAAGTCTCTGCTTTCCTTCTTTCTAAAGAGGTGATTATGATGAAGATTGCAGAGGAAATCCATAGGAAAAATTGGACTAGATTATTTTTGCTAAATTTACTCAGAAATAAAAATGTCAGATACATGTTTCAAGCATATTTGAGAAGAAAGAAAAGATCGTGTTTAGATATGCTGAACAATTAAAAGTATCTTTCATACCATTTCATTTGAGCATAGGCAATGATTTAATTCTTAAACTTGTGTTATTTCCGGGATTTAAAAAATCACATTTCTGATTCATTTCCCTTGAAGTTATAACAGTACTTAACAAGAGTGAATCTACAGATAAGATTCTTCAGCTTGCAATGTATATAAAAACTGCTTTCAGCATCTTTTGCTTCAAAACAGGAAAATGGCTTTCCTTTTTGGTAAACAAGTCAAATTTGGAAAAGGCATGAATTTGTATGAACACCCTCCATTTATGGTGATGTCATGACTGTAATTCTAGAAATAGTCTCTTCTCTCTTTTCTTGCTTAGAGATAGGCTCTGACTTTTTGTGCACAATTATGTTTATCTGATGCTAGTTTTCTGTAAGGCTGCATTCCTTTCTAAAAGTCTATAGCGGTGGTCTTCTAGGTGTCTGGAACCCACAAGTAATCAAGTTTTATTCCACAGCTGACTCTTATCTTTACGAATTATGAATGAAGGGAGGGAGTGAAAATAAATATGAAGGTAATGATTGAAATTAATAAGTAATCAAAAAGCCATGCTTTGGCTAATGCTCCCCAGAGCCTAACAGTAGTTCTGCCCCTCTCTTCTAGCTTCTGTGACCTGCTGACAAGCACAGAAATGACCTGATTCTGAGAGTGGAAGACAAGAGACATGCTCATGATCAGCCCTGGAGCAGCAGTGTATGTAGATGGACTGTCCTTCTAGGCCCAGAGAAAGCTTTTCCTTTAAGAAAAAAAACAAAAGAAAGAAAAAAAAAAAGAAGGAAAGAAAAAAGCAAACTTACAACTCCAAGCGAGCTGCAAGCAAGGGCTAAAAACTTCAGCCATTCAATCTCTTCTGTGAAGCGACCCACATTCATCAAGCTATTAAACAGATCTGTTGGGAGATTCAGCACCTTCCACATCTGGGCCAACTCATCTGCATGGATGATCAGTCTGCCAGCAACCTGCAGGGCAGGGTCAGACACAACAGAGAGGATGAGGGAGTGAAAGAGGGATGCAATGAGAAGCAGCTCCCATGCTGAGCCTGGGTTCTCCAGCACATGCACAGGAGCAGGGGGAGGTATGAGGGAGGCCAGAGGACCCTGTTTCCCAGTTCTTTTTCAGGGCTCAGTGAAGAGCTTGCTGAGACACAGTCTAACATTTTTTAGCTCCAGATGTCAGAATTATGGGAAAGGTATACATTTACATTTCATTTTAATTGTTTTCCAATGTGTTTGCATTGTGCTTTATTCCTGTGTTTTCCCTTCCCTGTTTAGCAGATAGGACAGTTGAAAACAAAACCAACAGCCAGAAGACTTGCCTGAGACCACTAATTAGTGGAGAAGTATGAACAAGATATTGCTTCTAGACTCCACTGGGTTCTTAGTACAAGACCTTGAGTGCATCCTTCCTGTTTTCCCGGGAATGGGACCCACAGGGCCTTAGCCTGGATGTCTAATATTGCTTCACCTTAGACACTTTAACGGTTAAAAGAAAACAGGAGTGGATGGCTGGTCACTGGCCAACAATTCAATGAGGGAACAGATGCTCCCGTGCAGTGCCCAGCACCTTTGCTGACCCTCTGATTCTGATGAGTCGCTAAGCCTTTGGGACTTAGTTGCCAAGTCAATCCCGAATCACCACAGACCTCTCTGTTGCAGAGCCTAAGGCAGAGAATGGTGGTGTTCACCCACATTTCCTGGGAATTGGCCAAACCACAAACTTTCTCATGCTTCTTTCCTCTTCCATTCACTGGGCAAGTCCCAGGATACTGTAGCTGGAGAGAGAGAGTCATGGATTCCCCTAAAAGCTAGGCTACATCTGAATATAGGAAGCTACAATCTGCCCCTGTCCAAACTGAGATTGGCCACATGTCATGGTCTCAGTCCATCAGAGAGACGTTGTTGAGAAACTGCTGTCCTAGACTTCTCAGGAGAGAAAGGGCTAGTTTTACACTGAGCCTCTGACATTCTGCCAGCTTCAGGGGGACCTGTGGGAAACCCACGACAGCTCAGCCTCCATCCTATTCTAAGGAAAGCCTGGCTTTTGGTCAGGGTTGAATGAATGTCAGGTAGTGTTCAGTGGCCAGCCGACTGGCAGGGGGACAGGTGGCCTTTGTCTGTACCCACATCAACACTGCCCCATATTCCCCTCAGTGCTGCTGTGAGAACTTCACCTGAGAATGCAGGATCTTTAACAGCTCCGGCGTCAGTTCTGTCCAGTTGGACAAGGCGACTCGCTCAGACTGCTCTCTCATTGGAGGAGTCTCTCCTCGAGCTATAGCCTCAAAGTACCTGCAGGAAGAGAAGGCAGCAGGGTTGGGGAAGTGTCCATCGCTCCTGTGGCCTGTGGCTGCTTTAGGAGTTCCCTTTCCTTTTTTGAAGGAAGGAGGTAGAAGAAAGAACATTTATGAGTTAGTTTTTAAGACACCATGTTTAGCTCATTTGCATGTGGGGAAATCCTGATTGTGTTACTTTCCACTTAAGGAATGGTGAATACATAGGAAATAAAAAGACTTTTTCCTCTCTAAGATGCAGAATAACCAACAAAAGTTTGGCATTCAACTTCCTGGGGCATAGTAAGTCAGATCATTCTTTCCCAGCCATCCCTCCTAAATGTTTTATATATATATATATATATATATATATATATATATATACACACACACACACACATACATACAAATACATACATACACAAGGAGAAACAAAACTCCTAGGAGAATATATATATATATATATATATATATATATATGGCTGTATACATATGTATGTATGTATTTAGTATTAGGCAGTGGGCGGTGGGGAGGGGGACGAGAAGCTGAAAGGGAATTGAAGTGACTCACCTGAAACAGGGAAGAGAGCATGAAGAGCCCCAGGAGTGAGGCAGGGTTTCTGGCTGGAGGTGGTGAGGCCTGAGCTCCAACAAGGAGGACAGCGCAGGCCACCAGGGCTCTAATGGACACCGAGGAGGCCAAGCAGTGTGAAAAGACTTTATGTGGTGCAGATGAAGCAAAACCCTTCTCTTTCAAATTGTCAGTAAACTATGCCTGCTCCTCATTGCTTTGTGGAGTGGATTCTGTCATGAGCAATGTGGAGAACAGACCAAGGCCTATGCAGGATTGGTATGAGATGGAAGGGGCTGTCTGCTGCTGGGAAGGGTGCAAGCCATTCACATGTGTGTCGCCCATGCTGTATGGCAGGGTCTGCTCTCCATCTGAAGTCTTCACACCAACTCTCCAGAGTCACAGACTTCTGCCTTTCTCTGCATCACTTTCTCCAGATCCAGACAGTAGTAAAAGAATATAGAGGGAATTTTATGAAAGCATATTTTAGGATGAAGCCACACGATGGAGCTAACCACTGGTTGCTTCTAAGATATGAGCAATTGGACCTACGCTACGTGAATTGAAACAGTACCTTTCTGTCCCCTCTTGGGGACTTGCTTGTTAAAATGCACCTTTAACAATATGAGAACAGTCCAGACAGATCAGTTTTGGGGTAGGTGTGGGTTCAGTGACAACTGGAGTGCCATATGGACCTCAGGCTTTACAACTAGATTTGGGAGACACCAGCCACATCACAGCAGCTCATTCTACAGAGGCGACTTTCCAGGTAGAGAGTGACACTCAGTACTCTCCAAACATCTTTGGACTTTTTAGTAGAACTGGTTAGAGAACATAGAAATGAAACTATAGTCATGGAGTTAGTACTTTGGGATATTGAGTTGCATTTGCAAGTGAACAATTTCATGGTTATAAATGTAGCAAATTTGTGTTGTCACACATGCCTATTACAGTACAAATAAATGTATGTCCTGCTGCTGCCTGGTAGGTAGCTTCTTCGTTGACAGCACATATGTGGGAAAATTTTTGCTTGTGATGAATTACATACTTTGTCTTGGAAGTACTTTGCAAAGTTTTATCTTCTAAAATGCTGTAAGTTTGTAAGTCACATAAATGATCTGGTAAATGGTTTTCATGTCAGAGTAGGATGGAGAGTGCTCTTGGGTAATACTTTTTTTCACTGTAGTTACAATACAAACTGATTTTTCACAGGTGCCTACAAAATTTATAGCACATCACACAATATGAGAACAAACAAGGCAACAACAGTGGAATGCTTTCTCCTATAAATGTCAAGGACAGTATCAAGAAATGTCATTTTTCTTACTATAATATAATAGCACAAGAAAACAAAATGGAGTTTTGAACTATTGTGTAGTATAAAACAAAGTCTGCCTGATTATGCCAAAAGAAATTAGTCTTCGGACACTAAAGTCCAATCTTAGAGATAATATATAAAATTTAGATTGGAAAACCAAACAGGATTCATTACTAGGCCAAGGAGATCCACTTACATCTGTTTCTACGGGCACCACCGGCTTACTCTCCGTCCATTCTAAAAGCCGCCTCCTGCAACCCAGGAGCCTGAGCCCTGGCCCTGAGACTCGGGAAAGCCCTCTTGGAACAGCGTTCTGTGACTTCTGAAAGGAGTTCAGAGCACCCTGCCCCATCTGCTGCACACGCCCACGCCCTGTTCAGCCTGAGGACAGGGTCCCTTCCCCAAGCCTCAGGCTCCTCCTTCCCAGCGCCCTCCCTCCCATCCCCCTGCAGCACTACTAAGGAGGCAATCATCCAGCAGTAAAAACAGCCTCTGAAAGGCCCAGCAGGTCTACTTAGCTCCCACCTCCTGCCTGCAGCCCCGGTTGCCCACTGTCTAAGCAGCGAGTTTGTCTAAGAAGCAATTTCATAGCTGAGAGACTTTCTGTGTACATCTGCTTTGGTGCAGGCAGCAGCTATTGTGCCAGCTCCACCGACTGAGCAGCCTCTAGGGGCTCTGGGAAAGGGGACCCCTGTGCTCCTGGAATGCTATCTATAGCCAGGCCTGAGCCCCTCGTTCCTCTGCCTCCTCCTCCAGAATCCCATGTGACTGTGCATATCTTTTTGTTAAGAGAGCAGATCCGTTCAAAGAAACACTTGAAAAAAATAATTTTCCTAAAGACAAGATACATAGTGTCTTTGGTCGGGGGTAAGGGTGAGTTTCACAAGCCTTGGAGGAAGGTGTCTCAGGAAGGAGGGAGCCAGCCTGGAGGGATACCACCCCTCCCACTCGCGGGCTAGCGCCGGCTCCCCCAGATGCACCGCTGCCATCTAGCGGTGAGACAGGAGAAGGAGGTCTAAATTTAAACCAAGGAAAGGCAAGTTAAATTGCAGCCCAGATCCCCAGGGCCCTCTTTGCACTGAAACACACAGACAGAGGCAGGGATGGGGTGGGTGGGGGTGTGCTGGAGTGTCCTGGTAATCTAACTCTTGTTGTTTGTCCCGGACATTTGTCTTATGGCCCTGGCATCCTGTCTCTTAGTTTGGCTTGCTTAAGGGAGGGCATCCCGTCCTCAGTTTGATGGATTTATGTGTGAATTTTAAAGCATGAAGCAACAAGAGAGCTGAACAAAATCACAAAGATTATGCTACTCAGCTCAGACTACCAGTCTGTAGCCTGCCCTTCGAGGGCTCAGGAGGTGGGAAAGGGACACGTACTCGACACCCCACTGGATGAGGTCCTGGGGCTGCATCCGGATGGCGGCTTTGGTGAACTGCTTGAGCAGTTCCGGCAGCTCCGGGGGGATGCAGACTTGCCTGTCCATCACAGGCATTGATTGCTTGACCTGTGGGCAGGAAAAAAAAAATACAATAAAATGAGACTCTGAATCAGAAGATGACAGCAATCCTGAACAGGATGTCACCCAGCCTCTGACACTTTCATTTTTGGGGACACCACTAACCCACACCACGGATGCTCTTTGTTGTAAATGCTTTTGTCCTTTAGATAAAAATGTATACAGAACATTAAAAAGTAGAGATCAATAGAAGTAAAAAAAAATCCCTGTGATATCACCCCCAAATAATGGATGTCTTCTTCCAATTTTTTTCAATATATGTGTAAAGGGGAAGTGAGATTACACAAAACAGCCTATTTACTCAACAACTCATTCTGGGCATCTTTCCACGTTGCTTTAATTCTTATTAGCTGGATAGGAGTTGTAGCAAAATTTGTTCTGTGAATCCTCTATGACTTGACATTAGGTTATTTCTAAATAAAAATAATTCCTTTTTAAATTAAAAATAATTCTTAAACAGTCGTTTGTTGGTCAAGTCTTTTTATACTTGCATTTTTTGGGGGGAGGGGTTGTTTTGTTTTGGTACTGGGGATTGAACTCAGGACCTTGTGCTTTCAAGGCAGGCTGTGGTACCACTGAGCTAAATCCCCGGCTGCATGTTTTGATATACTCTAATTGTAAGAGAGAAAAAAAAAACATTTTCACACAAGAAGTTCTAGGACATATTGAAAGAAATCATGAAAATTTGTAGATGGTATACAATTCCATGCACAAAGCAAAAACAGATTAAATGAGTTTGTCCATTTTTATTAGAGGAAAGGATAGACTGCTGACAATACTGCACCTAGACAACAGAAAAATCTCAGTAAACATACCTTTCAAATTGTCTGGCTGAACTTGCAATAAAATGAGAGAACTCTTCAAGTGCCAAATAAAGTAAGGCAGAATCCAGAGTGGTAAGCAAATGACTAAATTAGGGTTGAAATGGAGACAAAAGTAGATGGCAAGAACTTGAAACTTTGAGATGAAGTGCCTCCTTAGGAAATCCTAAGACAAGAAGCTAAAGTGATCTTAGGTTAATGGTGTTCTATTACCTTTTGTTTTATTTATGTTCTACTATTTGGAAGAAGAGAGGATAAAGATGATTCATTTTAGATTTTATAAAAAGTCAAGTATGCATAAATTTTATGCACACTTGAATTTTACAGGATGTTATAAAAGTTATATAACCACCAAACCTATAGAGAAATGAAATTTAAACACACACACATTTGCACCCTGAAAAAACCCTTGATCAATCTAAAATAAGGCAAAAAGTGAAGGGAAAGAAGCATAGGAAAAGTGGGAAAATAACATAATAGAAATTAATCCATACATATTGATCATAATAAAAAGAAATGGTGGGGCCGGGGATTTAGCTCAGTGGTTCCACCACCTGTCTTGCAAGCGCGAGGACCTGAGTTTGATCCCTGGTACCAGAAAAAAAAAAATGGTTTTAGGCGGGTGCATACTTGTAATCTCAGCTATTCAGGAGACAGAGGCAGAAGGATTGCAAGTTTGAACCAAGCCTGGTCAATTTAATGACTCTGTTTCAAAATTTTTTAAAAGGCAGGGTGGGTGGAGATCTGGGGGTGTAGCTTGGCGCTCCCTGGATTTAGTCCCTAGTATTGCAAAAGGAAAAAGAAGGAGGAGGAGGAAGAGAAGAAATGGTTCTAAATGTGTCAGTTAAAATACAGAAGTTATTAGATTGTGTTTTTAAAAATCCATGTATAGTCGCATCTGAAAAAGCAAAGGCACAGAAAAATGAAGATAAAATATCTCTATATAAGCAAATAACAAAAAGATGTGGACACATTAATACCAGACAAAAGAGACTTGATGGCAAATCACTACTAGGAATAATGAGGCTCCCTACACCACGACAAAAGTTTCAACTACTGTTGAAACAAAAGAGGGTAAAGAGTGCTGGGGATTTAGATCAGTGCAAAGACCCCAAGTTCAAGCCCAGTACTGCCAAACAAACAAACAAACCAAAGTTACAAAAAATGTATGAAAATATGATAAGATTTACTAACAAAGTTAATGAATTCAAAGAAAAAGTAAGTTTAGAACAGTCCTATGAGGAATTTAACTGCTATTCTAAAGACTAGCAGAAAAACATTGACATGTCACATGACTTGGAAATTTCTGATGTGAAAAAGTTCAAGTGCATTAGAAATCCATTCACATTGACATAAGAATCCCAGTGAGAGAATAGATCAAATTATCCAAATTCTGGTTAACAGTGAGAATAGTTTCTATCAATTAAAGAAAAGCAATAAATGTCATTCTATAACTTGGCAGATCCATCTATGAGGCAAACCTTCCCATGATAGTGACTATAAGAATTTGAAGAGAACATCATTAAACATTTTTTAACAGGAATTGTATGTGGTCATTTCAACACAAAACTTGATATAATATAAAACCATTACATGTAAGCTTAATTTCTATTTAAAATGTTTATTTGAGAATTTTATTCAAATTAAACATTTAAGGGCCAGGGATTTAGCTCAGTGGTTTCGCTGCCTGCTGCGCAAGTGCAAGGACCTGAGTTTAATCCCCGGTATCAAAAAACAAAACAAAACAAAACAAATTAAACATTTAATATAGCTTTGCATTACTCTTGCCACTTTCTGAAGTGTCTTTAGTTGTACTGCTGTGGCTGTGTCAATGTCCTGGATAGATTCAAAATATTTACCTTTTGTGGTCACTTTGACTTTGGGGAAGATAGAAGTCACATGGGGCCAGAACTTGCGAATAAGGTAGATAAGGATACATCATGATATTTTTACAAACCTGCCTTTCCATTGGATGGCACTGGGTAGTAATGTTCACTTTATTTTTTAATCACACCTCATAAAAACATTCACAAAAGAGGACTTCCAGTGGCAAGGATGATGGGATGTATTTGAAGTGAGGGGGAAGGGGATTAATGACAATGTATCATTCACTGTAATGCATTTAAAAAATTTAAATATTTACTGTATTTTTGATCATACCTTCATAAGCTAATTGGCAATTACATTTTGACCCAGGTTATTCTTTAAGCCACATTCTATTTTTTCTTTATAAAAAGCTTTACACTATCATCCATTCCAGTACACTACAACCTTGTACCACTTCTGTCTGGCTCCTTCACTCCTGCTTTTCTGCTAATATTTGCCATTCCCCAACAGCATGTAATTCTGTTTCTTATTTAACTGCCTCTCTGCATTCCTCCCAACTATTATCCTCGAAGCTCTCAGTAGTGCATTCCATGAGGTCAGACAAATTAATGCTGCCATCCTTTGTCAACCTCAACGTAACTGATATTTCTTCCATCACTTGGGCTCTTAGTTCTCATCCTGCTCAAGACCTGAAAACCAAACATTTATATCCCTTTACATTCTCCAGAAAATTCCATCTTTGCCACCTCTCTGGCACCTTTGTCTTCCATAAAGTAGGCACAGTCTGCCCTTCTTTTAAAAAATTGTGTTTGATCATATTACCTTTCTAATGATCTAATTATTTTTCACTGTTAAACAGTGACATCCTAAAAACTGGCATCATTTTTCCTCTATATGATGCCTCCTTTAACCTTTTATAAGATTTGATGTTAATAACCAAATAATATCACCAAATCTTCCCCACTTCTAAATCTAGTGAAGTTTTCTGTAACACTTACTCTTCTAGGATTTTCTATTGCAGTGAAAACAACAAGAAACAAACAAAAACCTGACAACTCTCTCAAGAAACACTCTGTTCCATTGGATAATGCTTGTTTGTCCTAATTGTGCTGGTCTTTCTTAGTTTCTGTTGCTCATTTTTGTCTCTTCAGTCACTTGTTAGAAGCATTTCCTAATGTTCAGTGGCCAGCCATCTGGGTTTATCAATTATACTGTGTTTTTCAAGTAATTGTTTATGAATTTTGTTTATGAATTGTTTATGAATGTTTCATGTGCACCTGAAAAGAATGCTGAATCTGTGGTTATTTGGTGTGATGTTCTCTATATATCAAAGAAGCTTAATCATGTACTTCAAATCTTTTCCATCCTCATTTACCTTTTGGGTCTGTTTTTTCTATTAGTAATGATGAGAGATGTGTTAAAATTTTGGTTTATATGGTAGTTTTTGTCTATTCTTTCAGTTCTATCAGTTTAGTTTTTGCTGATTAAATTTCAAGCTGTTTTAAAGCATATGCATATCTAGATTTAAAGTCTTCCTATTGAGTGGATACATCATTATGAAATGTCCATCTTTATATCTAGCTTTACAACTTGCCTTAAAGTTGACTTGGTTTGCCAGCTTTTTAAAAAAGTTTTGCAAAGTACATGTTTTGTGATCTTTTCACAATTTTCATGTCCTTTTATTCAAAATGTAAATAGCCTTAAAAAGCACTGAACATTTTTGTCTGTCACTTGGATCATTTAGTTCATCTATATTTAACATAATTATTGATATAGTTTTCTTTTCCATTTACTTTCTGTTTTTAGTGTCAGCTGTTCCTTCATTCTTCCTTTCTTGCCCTTTTAAAGCAATTATTTTTAAGTATTCTAATTTTTCTCCTCTATTAATTTTTTTAGTTATTCATTCCTTTATTTTTAAAGATTACTACATCCATCCTTAATTTACTGAATCTACACTTAATTTTACTTCTTGGATAGTGAAAGTACCTTGCAATAATTTAACTCAATATCCCTCCCACCCTTTTTATTATTGTCATTTATTTTATCTCTACATATATTTTATTGTTGTGGACATATGATAGTTTTTAAACTGTCAATATTAAACTATCTTATCCACTTATTTTATCTTATCTACTGATCACTGATGTTCTCCTTTTCTGATGGTCAGTGCTTCTCTGTGGGAACATTTTCCTTTAACCTAAAGAACACTAATGTTTTCTATAATGGGAGTTTTTCAGGGAAGATATGTCAGTTTTCATTTGTTTGAAATGTATTTGTTTTGTCTACCTTTTTTGAAGGACATATTCATGGAATCTAGAATTTCTAGGATAGCAACATTTT